GTACGTGTAACCATACCGAACTGGAGCAAGATGCAGGAAATGCAAAAAGCCCATCAGCCGCTGTCAACGAAAGCGATTTCCCAGTTGACCCAACGCTCCTCTTGGCACCGACCATTCAAACATCGCGCGTGAGACCATGGCAGGTGCTTCCTGGGCGAACACACCCGCTAATGATAGGGCGAGGAGGTGCAGAGGGTTATGTTTTCCATGCTCTGCGGGCATTGCCGGCTTTAGGGAAAGTTGAAGCAAGAGGCAATCAAGCGCGGAAGAAGAGGAAGACTAGCACAAGAGATGTCACTCCAGCAGCTACTATTATCTCAGGGTCTCAGGCCGGCAATTAAGGCTAATGTGTTATCACGCTTTTGTACAGTCCCCGGGTACGTATCTAAGATCTTAATTCTAAAAATAATAATTTTCTAGAAGGTGGCTCAACGATTCTAGGTTAAAGCTAAAGTCGGTCAGAGTCATCGTCACGCTATAGATAGGTGAACAATGACGTCTCTGTAGCCCCTTCTCAGGGAAAACATTTTATGTCGACTCTAAAGCTTCTCTGAGCTGTGCTCGGAATAACACGTGAATCTCTTACATAGTAGCATTGCGTCATGAGTCACCGTCTATTTTTCTACACTCATCGACTGCTTTTTTGGGTGTGCAAACCAAGAGACACATTGTGATACCACAGTTAACCCAATATGGGGAAATCAGTAAATGCTCTCTGGACCTGCCTGAAGGTTAAGTCTTCGATTTACAGCTTTAAGCTCACAACGAGAGAGATAGGCCACGGTGCAGGGCGGGTCACATTCCGTCTCCTAGTAATCCGCTGCTCTCGTGATATGAGGATACAACTTTTCCCTCATGGGTTGGAGAGCCTTGGTAGTTCCACGGGCAATCACATTGACGTAATAATAATGAGTACCTTCACTACTATATCTGCCAGAAAGCAAACTCTCAATTGGCCGCAACAGGTGATCCTATGGTATGTGTGCCGTAGGTATCCCGAGCTTCTTTGCTCAGATAAAGTCAAACAACTGTTCCCGATTTTGTCTTCCACTTTGGGCGGAGACAAGCGAGTAAGGGGTAGTATGGTGGTTATCGCCTAGTCTACTCTTCCATACTTGAAGAAAGCTGCAACCACATTCAATCGCGGGAGCCTGCGGGAGCCTGCGGGCTAATATTAGATTAATTAAGGCTCTCGAGGGTGTACTGTTAGAACACACCTAGACTAGCAATGGCTGTCCAAGTTGCGCGAGAGCTTGTCGTCCGATGCTATCCCACTCAGCGTTCTTTGGACTGCAGTTTTGGCATCCACTGGAACGGCATACCTCACAGAGATAGATATATTAGTTACCTAGCGGCATTGGGGTACAGTAACACTCTCCCGTGGCCTATTATAGCGATCATGGCCTGCTAGAGAGAACAATGCCACCATCTCGTCCGTTGAGATGCAGTATAGAACTTATGGAGGTCCTCTCAAAATTACTAGGAAGGCCAAGGCCTGAACACACCAGCAAAGCTTCCACCCCCTTGACATATGCAGCTGAAGCCAGCTGGTGGAGTTAATGCAAATCTCAACCTCACAAAGCCAGTGTGAGCGAAAAGACTAACTTACAACTAACCACCAGAGTAAGTTGCCGACTCCGCCGCATCGCATCGCTGAGTGTGTGGGGCTTGCTTAGACTGTATTGCTACCTGAGTTTATATACCTCCACAGAATCTTCACGACTGTCCCCCGGATAATGCCATCGATTGGTGCATTAATATTAAATCATCCGGTGTCTTGAAATTACCCGCGGAAGCTCTGCCAGGAATCAGGAGCCTCAGGGCCCAGGAGACATGAAGATATAGCCAGCGTCCATGGATCAAACCAGAGTTCAAAGCAGCCCGCTGCTATGTCCAACTGAACTCGCGTATCCATAGTTATGTATATACATGTACGTACACACAATTCGAAGGGATGGGGGTTGGAAGTGTTGGTGATTACTACCATACGGGAAGAACGTAGGGTTAATTTACGGTGATTACACCGTGGATCCACCATTCCACCTGTGTCACGTGTCGCTGATTGTAACACATGTTCCACCATTATATTCAGTGACACATTGCTGAATATTAAATGTCAAGATGACATTGAAATGGCACAGGACTTCTTGACACTATTGAGAGATGGCTCAGTCACCATGTAATCAGCAGATGTCATCATCAAGATACTACTAAGATACTGTGAGTCACAATATACTGTTCTATCAGTGAAATCAATACTTGTATACTATTTAGCTAGACTAGTTAACTACTTCATATAAATCAAATTACTATTTAAAGAAACAAGATATCTCAAGTGTAATATAAATATCTTGTTATTTGAGATTTATATACTAAATAATTATTATTTTTATTAGTATTCACTATTGAAATATTATATAATACTGTCTTTTAAATCACTGAAAGTCTGATAATAGTGTAACTATCAGAATTCTCTTATAAAATCAGTAGATTCAACAGATAATTCTGTCTGATATGATATAGAGAAGTAAGTATAAAGAAAATTCACTTAATCTCTCTTATTTTATAAATAAGAATAGTTATAATTCAGTCAAGATTAACTCTCTGTGTAATGTAGCAGAACTGAAGCAGTGGCTAGTCAGCAGTGTCATGTAGAAGTAGTTGTTTAAGAAGCTGTATAAGTGAGCTTGACTATCTTGCTTGAATAGTAAGCTTATAGGCTACAGAGTTATTGCAAGAATATCACAGATATAATACTTAGTATACTAAGAAGATTGTATAAGACACATAGTAACTCTTGTATATATTTGTCGGATTGGGTGTCACGGATGAATATGTTGAAGACATATGAATCTTATCTGTATCAAGATCTGCTTGTTATATTATCCGTGCACTATCTAATATATCTATTTCATACAAAAGATGGAGCTATTTATAGTAAAATATATGTGCGAGCCAAGAGAGCTAGCATAAGCGAGTATTAGACGAGCGTTGTAGTAAGCTGATGATGATGAGAAATATTGTAGTAATACGATGTTGGTGGCGTTCAGTAATACGATGTTGGTGGCGTTCAGTAGTGTATAACCTCTTTTTCCTGACACACCCCCTTCAGCGAATGTAACATGTAAATGAAAGTGTAAATGAAGCTGCAACAAAAAGAGTGTAGATGAATCTGTAGAGATTACATCAAGATAGATCATTTAATCTGCTTGCGCCTTGATGATATCTGATATATCAACTAGGCCTAGCATCTTGACGAATTCTGTATGTTTCTGGCGTGGCAGAGCCTTAGTGAGGCCATCCGCTGGCATCTGGGCCGTAGGCACCCAATCAACTGTAATATCGCCGGATTGGACACGTTCTCGGATTGATATCTTTCATCTGAATCCTCCCATCGGGATAGGATGACGATATCATCCACATAGAAGAAGACAATTAATCGATCATTTGAGAAGAGGCAGCAATCCTCTGGCATAGAGGTGAAGCCTAGCGTTCTCGGATTCTTCGCGATGTGGGTGTTTTTCAACATCTGTCCAGTGGTTCGGTGGATCTGGCAGTTGAGATCTATGGATCCCTGAAGTCGGTATGGATGCTGTTGATGTAGCTGTATTGTTGAGAACAGTCAAAACAGTATTAGGAAATAAATTTTGAGACTTGTAGAAGTCTGGGTGTGATTGAGAATGAGAGAATGCTTCATTGATCATTTGAAAAGGATTGACTTTGGCATTTGCAACTGCCATAAGGTGGGCAGCTCTGTGATTTCGGGCTCGTGTACGATTATCTATCGCAGCTGTATGTGTATTGATATCAACATTGCTGTTCCGTGTACGATTATCTATCACAGCTGGATGAGTATTAATATCAATATTGGGACCTGTATCAACATTAGGACCTGTATCAACATTAGGGCCCGCTGGCCCTGGCGTAGGTTCAGGTGTATGAGATCTAACGTGGGGACGTCTAGATATTTGATTTTCCGCATTAGATAGATGGCAGGGTTTGCAAAGCTCGGTGGTAAGCTTGTCCGCAGCATCTTCTTGATGGGTGATTTGAATGCCAGTTGCATCATTTGCAAGTTTTTGAATGGCGATTTTCGATGGATGTCCTAATCTCTTATGCCATGTTGACTGAGTAGCTATAGAGATCTTAGGTTTTTGAGAAGGTTTTGTGTGTATCGGCAGGTTGGAAGAAGGATGATTTGTAGAAGTTGAAGAATTTGAAGATATCGTTTTTTCAGATATAGTGATGTTAGATGTGTGTGGTGTGGTAGCTGCATCGGCTTCGGTAGTGGATTTTTCCGAGATAGTTGAGAAAACAGCTGTTTCACTATTATATTCTGTAACTAGCAACCCCCCAAATACTTCAACGCGTGCAAAGATTGTATTATCTGCGCGTTTTCGCAATCTGAAGTCTTTTCCATCATAATAGATGCCTCCTATATGGAAACACGGTTTCCATGCGATGATATTTGTATGGAAATTCGGTATGTAAGCCGCGTTGGTGAGATTGACATTGAACTGCTTTCCTGCTTCATTTATCATGATAGTTCTAACAGTTCCATAACCTTCAACTTTAGTGCTGGAATCGCCTGTATAGACTTCCGCATTCTCATTCGCAGGTGTAAAGGATAGGAAACGTGTTCGATTATTGCATATATGCTGTTCCGCGCCAGTATCAAAGATCCAGGAGTTTTGGAGGTAGGAGCGAGAATGTGAAGAGTTCATCGATATTTTTCGGATTTGCTGATCGATAGATTGATGATCGATAGATTGATGATCGATAGATTGAGGAACTGATTGCTTCAGAACCATTCCTCCTAGGACTGCTTCATTGGCATCTACCATATCCATATTTGTGGATGAATCTCTAGATATTGCATGATCAATACGTCTCTTCAATTCTTGATTCTTAAGAGCTTGATCGATCTGAGTTCTCTTCTCCCCATTTTCCTTCCATCCAGGTGGCTTTCTTGATGGATTGAGATAGTAGCACTGGGCGTATCAGTGACGGGCTCCGCAGATGCAGTTTCCGAATGTCGCTGGTGATGATTGCTGAGGTCTTCCATTAAGGGTAGCAAAGTTCATAGGTTTATCTCCTTTGAGAATACCCATTTCCCTATACCATTCCTTGAAGTCCTTAACTAACTCTATCAAAGATATAACATCTTTATCACATCGGACATCCTTAGCCCATGCTTGTGCATAACCTGCATCAATAGCTAGGTTCGCATTTAAGAAATCTTTCTTCAAGTTGAACTGTCCAGCTATATCCGCCTCTTTGATATCATCTTCGATGAGTGACCAGTCATTTAACCACTTCTCTATACCTCTGTTTTTCGGTGCTTTGCAGAGATCATGGTATCGGGTTCTCACATCATCTTGATAGTCCGCGGTCGTGGGTGAGAGACGATCTCTTAATGAACGGATAATCTCCTTCACATCATCATCCTCGCTGCGTACATGTCGTAGCTCTGTGGCATCCACTGTTCTCCATATGACATCTCGTATCTTTGTCATACCTTCATTCAATTTCTCATATTTCATATATTTGATTTTCCACGCAGTGACCTTGATGTCATATGCTATCTTGGCCTCCGCGGTGGCTTCTTCTGGACTCTCGGGTTCCAGAGGTTCTTCTAGTTCAGAGAAGATATCGGGTTTATCAAGATTGATGAAGTCTGATACCTTCTTGTCCTTTGCATATCCTAGCATATGCTTGTACCAAAGTTTCCAATCTCCAGGAACGCTAAGGTGTACTGTCGCACTAGACATTGTCTTGTCTGTCATATCGGTTATATTGAATGGATTGAGGAATCGGTTCAAGTATTTGAGGATAGATATGATCAGAATTCAGGGTGTATAACGGTCGAGTATTTCGGAACGTATATGAGTGAGGATCTATCGTCTCAGTTCGAATGATAGTTATCAGTTCGAATGAGGACGGGAATCTGGTATGGTATAACGGTCGAGTTGATCGGACCGTATACAAATGAGGATCAATCGTCTCAGTTCGAATGATTGTTTGTCAAATTCGAATGAGGATTGGGATCGGTGTATCGCGCTTCTCTTCAGATGCTGCTTACCGGGAATCAGGTATGGTATAATGGTCGAGTAGATCGGACCGTATACGAATGAGGATCAATCGTCTCAGTTCAAATGATTGTTGTCAAATTCGAATGAGGATTGGGATCGGTGTATCGCGCTTCTCTTCAGATGCTGCTTACCGGGCTCATAACTGTCGGATTGGGTGTCACGGATGAATATGTTGAAGACATATGAATCTTATCTGTATCAAGATCTGCTTGTTATATTATCCGTGCACTATCTAATATATCTATTTCATACAAAAGATGGAGCTATTTATAGTAAAATATATGTGCGAGCCAAGAGAGCTAGCATAAGCGAGTATTAGACGAGCGTTGTAGTAAGCTGATGATGATGAGAAATATTGTAGTAATACGATGTTGGTGGCGTTCAGTAATACGATGTTGGTGGCGTTCAGTAGTGTATAACCTCTTTTTCCTGACAATATTTCAGTCAGAGAAAAATGAATCACTGACTTCTTTAATGAGAAGTCAGTATCTAGTTATTCTATATAGACAATGAGCAGATACTCTTCTCTCATTTCATGAGTAAGAATAGCTGAAGTGATATCTCAGCAGTATCTCATTATTAAGAAAGAGTAATCTGCTGATCTTGTATAAAAGTGAGATTCTTATATTTATTAATCAGATCTTTCTATAATATATCTGAATAATGTTATAGAGTAATTGAAAACCAGTTCAGATAAGATGAAATTATTCACATGAAAGTGATAAGTCATGTGAAACTGTAACAGAGTCTTAGTATAGTCAGAAGTATAACAATACTCTTCTCTTTAAGAGTATAGTCTCTATACTCTTAAGATTATCAGATTAGAAATTATCTTTGTTATATAGCAATAGTTATCAACTGATTAACAGTGTATATACTGTATAAAGAAATAGATGAGTTGTTCTACTGACTGTGTAGATCTTTCTTTTCTCATCTTCATTCAAATCAAACATGTGATAAGTGAGTTTCTTATATATTGATTTGAAATATGAAAAATGTAGTTAATAAGTGACTTACAGATCTCTCAATATATTTCATTCTATATATAAAATTCTCTGCAAAAGTGATGTATTTTAGAGACAAAGCTAACAGTAGTGACAGGATTTTTTTGAAAAGATCTTTCTCTCTTATAATACATTTTTCTCTTTCTTCTCTCATCTGTAATAGTGAGTGCATGAGAGTATCATTCTTGAGAGATAATAAGAGACTTATTCTGACATTTTCTAATAAGTAATAAACATCTTCATGATGCAGCTGCAGTCTCTGTGACTGTCAAGAAAGTCAGATTGAAGATGACAGTGTCAATGAGTCATGAGAGCACTGCTCTCATTATCACATCTTCTTCTACTTCTCTTGCAGTTACAGTGATAGTTGCTGTGCCTTGCAGTGAGATGTTGTCTCTTCTACTGACTGATGTGTCTGTGTCTGATCTGTCTTCTACTCTCTTCATCACTGTTGTAACACCGCCCCCTCTCTCATTCAATACAGTGATATATGACCCTGTGTGATCATTCAGAGAGAAACCCGGGAAGAGCTTAATTTCAGAGACAGTGACTCTGAGAAGCTCAATCTATAGTTTTTCTTTCACATATCTGAGCCCTGCTCAGAATGCTGCTAAGTTGAGTCTGCAGAATTTCACAGTTTCTTCATCTTCTCTCTGTGAAGAGGCTTCAGTGCAGTCTCTGACTGATACTGCTACTTGTCTGCACTGCACTAAGTAGCTGAAGAAAGAAGAGATTTTATGCATTCACTTCTTCTTTCACTCTTATTATTTCTATTATATCTGTAACAATGACTTCTGTCTCTCTGTAAGTATTATCTTATAGAAAGATGTTATATCAGCTCTGATAAGAAGTCTAGATACTCAAGTAGTACAGAGTGAGAGTCTCAGAGCTTTAAGTATTGATAGATTTCATTAAGACTGAGAAGATCTCTCTTACTCATCTGTAAAAGAAGATGAAAGTATGAGTCTCTGAAATGAAAAAACATCTCAGAATAACTGATTCTAAGAAGAAATCAGCTGATGCTGCTATTAAAAGTATCACAGAGATTAATCACTGATTGAAGAGAATCTCACTTCAGTTGAAGCAGATAACTGAGATGTTTTATAAGTTAATAAGTTAATACTTTCAGTATTTCTTATACTCTTCTGCAGCATGCTTCTCTGCAGTATCACAGTACTAACTTCTCAGTAGATAAAGATGCTGATACTGAAGACTTCAATGATGAAGAATGAGTTTGATAAAAGTGTGATTGTTAATAAGTAGACTCTGATTCTTCTTTTTACTTTTTCAGTGAGCTGTGATCTTATTAGAATAACAGCAGTCTGCAGATCAATAATATTAATCTTTTTATTAATTTCAAATATCTCTTTTCTTTTAACTGCTTCAGAAATGTTATACTTATATAGTCTCATTAAACTTCTAAAAAACCCTTTAAGAGAAAATAGAAGAAGAGTGTTACAGAGTTTACAAGATATCAGCTTATCACTGTGAAATCATCTCTAAAAAATTCTTTGAGAAAAATAAGAAGTCTTTAAACAGTATTTCTTACTTAATATCTCTGATATATAATAAGATAATCTCTACTAGCTGTCTCATAGCTTGCAATCTCTTTCTCAGCATTTTTCAAATACTTAAGTAGTTTTCATGAATTCTCTGACAATAAATAATCTTCTTATTTAACAAGGTATTGAAGCTTGTTGTAATATGTTCACTTATTCAATATTTTCTTCATAAGATATTCAGTATTACTCTCTATCTTGATATTATTCAGCTGAGACAGCTCTGCTCTGAGACATTGCTTATAGAGCTTCAAATAGAAAATATGAAAAACAGAATGAATTGATTTCAATTCTGTGAGTAATTTCAACTCATATATCTGCTTATTTATTACTCTTATTATCAGGAAAGATTCTAGTTATCACTCACTGAGCTTCTTACACAGTTTCATTATCTTGATATTCTTTGCTGAAAGTAGCACTTGATTCTCTATCAAGAACTTCATTAGAAGATGTTTTTAATTATAGTATTTTATCTATCACTTCTAAGCATGATGAATACTTTTCACTGTCTTCTCATAAATTTTGTTCAAAAGTTTCAATCTTACTTTTACTTCTGACACTGAGAGATACTTCATTCTCTATATCTGTTTAACATTCTAACTATCTATTCTCTTCTTTAAAATGTCATCCGCGACATCACTGAGTAATGAAGAATTATATTTATAACAAGCATAGAAAGAAGATATCTTTAAGATTGCATTCTTTACATTATTATATATAAATTCAGCAGTCAGAAGATGTTTGAGCCAATCATTCTGATAATATAAATAGAATACTCAAAGATGCTGTTCTAGTGTCTGATTCTAGTATTCAGTCTGGCCATCAGTCTGTGAATGAAATGTGATACTGAGAAGACATCTTATTATAAGATGATAGCAAAAAGCTAATCAGTACTTACTGATAAAGAGAGATTCTCAATCTGTTATCAACAATTTCAGAGCACTGTGATTATAAATAATGATATCTAAAAACAGATCAGTCAATTCAGAGGCTTTAATCTTTTTATAAGTAGAAATATATCTGATTATCTTCATAAAGCAGTCAACAATGACTACAATTAAGTTATATTCTTTGACTCTTGTTAACTTTGACAGATCAACTATGAAATTCATTAATAGATTCTATCATAAGCTCTTTGAAACAGGCAGTGATATCAACTCACTGTATTACTTATACTGTGAGATCTTTATTCTTTGACAGACATTGTAAGTCTTAATATACTCTTTGACATCTGCTCAGAGCTTGTCTCAAGTGTATTTACATTTTAGAAGCTTCTCAGTCTTCTCTAATCTGAAGTGCCCTGTATAAGAATTATTATAATGAATTCTTAATAACTTCTGATGCATCACTCTACTACAAGAGACAAAGACTGAATTATTCAGCAGTAGAAGTTCACATTCTCCTAGTTATCAGTGACTTGATTTCTTAGTAGCATCATCTTACTCAGAGCCTGTCTCTTTCAAGTTCAAATCAAACTCTTTCTTCTTCAACTTCTGAATTCAAGCTGTAGTAGAGACATTCTTCTTCTATAACTTATCAATGAATTTTAAAAGTAGTTGAGTTGAAAGATTGTAGATCATTTCATTCTTTATCAATTCAATAATTGTAAGATATAATATAAGAAGCTCATAATCTTCAGTGTCAGTTCTCTGCAGAGATTCAGGTTTTCTTTCATCTTCTATACTGAGTTACACAGCTGCCTCTTCAGCATTATTTTCAAGCTTCAGAGAACTTTAATCCTCTGCAGTCAGCTTCTTCTGCAGTGATGACAGAGATTCTTTTGTAGAATTCTTCTCTGCATCAATAATATTATAATCAGACTGCTTAGATAATGTGTTAACAGGGTTAAGCCGACCTGAATGATATCAGATATAGAAATCATACTCTGAAAGCAGCTCTACTCACCTGGCTTGACATTCTGTCAAGCTCTTTGTTATTAAGAAGTAACACAGATTTGCATGATCAGTGAGAACTTGCACTGAGTACTTACTATTCTGAAGATAATGTTATCAGATCTTAAAGAATTCAACAATTGCTAACATCTTCTGATCATGAGTATCATACCTTCTCTGCATAAGTGATAACTTCTTGAAGAAGAAGATCACTGATCTTCATTCACAGTATCTTATAGACTTTATGAAAAAGTCTTCTCTTATAGATAATTCATTGTCTGTTTCTTCAGAGATGATTATTCTCTGATTCTTTCAACATTGAAAGGCC